TTAATAAAATTTATATTAGTTAAAATATTTTTTTATTTTTATATATTTTAAGAGATAAAGCAAATTTAAAGTTTATTTTTATTCTTTTCAATTATTTTAACTTGATTCCTTTTAAAATTCTTATGATATATATATATATTATAGCAGTAAAGATTATATAACATAGCAAAATTATTTGCAGAAAGTTAGTAAAATATAAAAGATCAATAAAAATTGACTAATATTAATCATTTTAGATATTACATAAATTTTAAGATAAAATAATCAATAAAGAAAAATGAAATAATTAGCTATAACTAGGATTAGTTATAGTCAAGCTAAAAACTCTTTCTCATTAATCACTTTTTCATTAAAAAATTTTAAAAAATAAATTTTATCTTTTAATTATATTTTACGAATTCAGTTAATTAGTTCTATAGTTTTACAATTTTTTATATACTTTTAACATTATAGAAAAAAGAAATTTAACTCTTTAAACTATATAAATAAGATAACATAAGAGATCTACAGAAAGAAAAGATTATGTGATATAACAAAAAAGATCTGCAAGAAGTTGGTATAATATAGAAGATCATTGAAATTAACTGAGTAATGATTATTTAGATATTACATAAAGCTTTAAGATAAAATAATCAATGAAAAAAAATAAAATTATTAGCCATAATGATATGCAATACAAGCCTAAAATAGGTATACCAAAGAAGGATTTTAAGGAAAAGGAGTTAAAGGATAAAATAGAGTAATAATAAAGTAATAATTGAAATATTTTTATAAAATTATATAGTCATTAATTATAGGATTATTACAAAATAATTTGGTAGTCATTACTTTATATAATACAAACATTAATCATTGATAAAGAAATCATTATAATCAACTCTTGTTATAACGAACTCTATGTTCTAGACCTCAACTTCGCTATAAAGCTATAGTTAGGAATGTTAATGGTTCGATCAGTTCAGTTTCAGTCTGATTTTTATCAGTTTGGGAGTAAAATCGAACTGGATCAGTTTGTAGACCAATTTGAAATTGGAGTCTAGACCAAAATTTAGACCAGAGTTTATATATACAGGTTATTATAAAAATCTTTGATGAAACTATAAAAAATTATGCAATACTTAAAATTCCTAATACAAAATTTTATTATAATACAAATAAACTGAAAAAAAAGTCAAATTATACAAAAAAAATTTTTTTTTTGCGATCTATTATTACTGAAACATCATTCCCATCAAGCTTTTGACTAAAATAATTTTGCCTTATTATCCATCACCACAATTTTAATATAAATTTATATATTTTCTACAATCCTTTTTTCTGAAATTCAATGCTTCATACAAATAATTGCTCTTGCTGTTTCAGGATTTAACCTGTTTCTAACTTTTGAGATAGCTAAGCCTGAAATTGAAAAGGCTCTTTCTGATGGAACTGACATCGCTTGAATCAATAAATAATTCTTAACTATTTGAGACAATATAGGATAATCTTTTTCATGAACTTTCTACTAAATTAAAGAATTGGTACCACTATCTATTGGAGAATTTAGATATCTATCTAATTCATCATATGTCATTTTTTGATAATTATTTTGATTAAGCAAATTAAGAAAGTAATCCCGAGATGATAACTTTTTTTTTTGAATTTGTTTGATTATTAAAGGGAGAATATATACTATATAATTCTTGTAAATTATTAATAATTTCAGCTAAGTCATTATTTTCAAATAATGTGATTTTGTAACACAGATCTAATACCGAAGAAATTGTAGAAGTGTAATTTAAATGATCATTCTAATATTTTTTTAATTTATTGTAAATAGCTAATGCTATTTCTTTTTGTATATGATGACCTCTTCTTTGATATTGATTCAATTTTTTAAACATTCCAACAAAAACCAATCTAATATCACCTTGTGTAGGATTTAATGATGATGATAATAACTGTGTTGCTTCATACATAGGTTGTAAAATTAATGATAATTCCTAAAATAAATAATAAGTATAAAATAAATAAATAATAATTAATTAATTATAATAATAAAATAATAAATAATAAATACCTTAATACGACCCTATTCAGAAATTGTTGGAAAAAGATTATCAAGATCTTTAGGATTTGTTGTTACAAGCAATTCAGAAACATTTTGCATTAAAGTTTGTCTAGCAATCATCAAATATATAGAATTCCAATACGTATCTATATCTAAAATTGACTTTAGAAATTTAACCTTTCTAATAGTACAAATTTCTAATAATTTATCTAATAACAGTGATGAATTTTTTAATTTAACAACAAATTGACAAAGTTTTTTGATTTCATCTCCTACATATTTCATTCCAGCTTTTACTGCCAAGTTGATAATGTGAGCAGCACATCGAAAATGAATAAAAGACATATTATTAAATTCTTGATCTAATTCAGTTGCTAATTGATTACCACATGCTATCATATTGCTTCCATTATCTGTTGTCATAGCAAGAATATTCTGACTAATATTGAATTCTTCAAAAAGTTGTGAAAGTTTGCTTGTAATTAATTCAGCTCTATGAGAACCATTTATAGGAATTATATCAAGCAAAAGATTCTTTAATTCCCAATTATTATTAATATAATGAATTGTTATTCCAAGATAACAATCTTTTGGATCTGATGTCCATATGTCTGTTGTGAGAGATATTTTTGAATTAATTTGTGAAATTTCGCCTATTAAATCATTTCTTTTTGTATCATAATTTTTTACAAATTTTTCTTTTAAAGTTTGTCTACATGGTAAAATAAATTGAGGATTCAATTTATTAACAAACAATTTGAATTCAGTATTTTCAACAATAGAAAAAGGTTGTAAATCAGTTGCAATAAAATCAATCAATGAATTTGTGATGGAGTTGGATTGTGATAAAGAATAGGGTTTGAAGCGCGTTTCATTCAAAGTAATTTGATGATTTTCAGTTTTTTTATAATGAAATGAATGTTTTTTAGTTAAATGTTTTCGAAGGGTGGTTGTTGGATTGCCAGGCGAATAAATTTTAGCACATAATATGCATTTATAACTTGTTGTTAGTCCAGTTTCTTCATCTTGGACTTTAAAAAAAAATTCCCATACATCCGACTTGCGAGTTGTTATATTGGAATCTTCTTCAGTTGCTAAAGAAGTTGAAGAAACATCTGAGAAATTGTCGTCATTTTCATTTGAAATTACGCCGCCAGACATTGTACAATACAAACAATAATGCAAAACGAAAATTATTCTAGTTAAAATGATCAACGCGTCTTACAATTTACGCGACACGGCATTTATATAGATTGATCGTCCAAACCGGTCTAAATACCGGTTCGACTCTTAAAATCGTTACCATGGATTATCAAAATTAAATCATGTGATTTTATAATAACTGATTTAAGCGACCCAAAATTTCTCTTTCAACGCAATTTCGTTTTCTTATCAAAAAAAAAGATAATTACCGGGCACATGTAATCTAATTGTTGATTACCATCTTTCTCACATTTGATAATGGTCCGTTTAAAGAATCGATGGCTTCTTTTCGAAATTGTATTTGAAGATACGCTTCAACGTTCCACCTCTACAAAAAATGTAGAAACATTATCTTCCAAGGATGTTTATTCCGCAATAAAAGATTCTATAAAAACGAATTTTGGTGATTATGGTGTCGGGTGTGTTGCAGCTTCGCTCAATGGTAAGAGTCGGTTACGCAAAGCTTTAAAGCGCAATTGTTTTATTATTTTTACGTTAAAACAGCTTTTTTATTCGTTTCAAAAAAAATTATATATATATATTTTTAAATGTTCTAGTAAAATATTTTTCTCCATTTACGAATATTGGTGTACTTAGAGTTTCAAGAGATCATTATCATATTGCTTGGGGTGCAATGACTTTTATTTCACAAATAAAGACGAAAAATTGCCTTTTACGCGTTTTATATCTTGGAGGTATGGTTTTAAAATTTAATTCAAAAGGATTTTCCTATTAATACATATAAATATATTATTTTCTATTAATTTAGCAACAATTAAACAATGTCAATTATCTGCTATTGACTATGATAGAGACCAGATTTTGCTGCTAAAAAGGCAAGCCGAATTACATGGTAAGACAAACAGCTAAAAGAAATAAAAATTAAAAATATTTGTAAACTAACTAAGATATTACAAAAATGGTTTCTATATAGATGATGCAGAATCACTTGATGTTGATGAATTACTTGAACAATCAAAAAGTCAAATTTTGGCCATAGAATAATAATAAATACGAAAATATTTTACATGGTATCTCTTTTAAAAGTTTCATTATTAGAATCTAAATTGTATTTATGTAAAAAAAAAAAAAAAAAAAAAGAAGAGTGTGGTTTATAAAATGAGATCAAATAATCAATTATATTACATTACAATCAAAATATTGTTAATATAACAATAATAATAAAAATAATAAAATGTACCTCAGATATTTTTTTAAAAAAAGTCCTGTTTTTTTTTTTCATTGAAATAAGGTGGCTTTACATCAAAATTTCATTATGACAACTAGTTTTCAATTCTTTGTGAGGTAGCACAATGCAATTACGAATAATTATTTCATCCCTAACAATGACTTCTTTGGCTATTTTGAATAAGGTTAGCATGACTACCTTTTTTTTTTTCGAAGAAAAAAAATTTTTCAAAAATGATAACTTACCAAGAATGGTGATTGATGGAACCTTTACACCATTTTGTGTGATGACAATCTGATCATTTGTTATTGATGTTCCTTCAACACGAGCCCAAGTTCCAATTTTTGAGTCCCACCCAATAATACTATTTATAATACAACTGTTCGCTTTAATCTCCGCGTTATCAAGAATAATAGAATCCTTGATACGAACTCCTTTACCAATAACTGCACGAGGTCCTATCGATACATTTGGTCCAATCTAACCCCCAAAAGAATATGTATAAAATTGATTTTCTGTATGAATAAATAATCTTTTGCATTTTAAGGAACAAACCTTTGCACTTGGATCAACGAATGCTGTAGGATGCTTATAAACACATCCAACTATCGTTGGACCATCAGGTTCTTTTTTTAATAATCGTTCGGGATTTGTTTCCAAATATTGCTCTAGATATAACGCGTTCGCAGGTACCGCGGAACTAATATTGATATATTTAGTTAGTATTTAATAAATTTAAATTAGTTTAAATTTTTATATTTACCCAGCGGTCTTAATTTGTCTCCAAAAGTCGTTTGTAACGTATACAAATAATTTCATGGATTCAGCTAATGGACGAAGTAAATCTTGTTCTAATCGAAGCTGATCGTCATGATCCATGAATTGATCTTGACTTAAGTTGTAAAAAGTAAAAAATGTTAAGGAATCTATAATAATTTCATCTAAACTGATCTTTTTAGAGTAAAAGGATACTCGACTTGATTCTTTTTGTTTTGCATGGCCTTTTTCATTTCATTGAAAATGGCACAGTCAAATAAATAGATACCACAACTAATTAAATCAGAAATAAAACTTTCTGGTTTCTCAACATAATGTAAAACTTCATTACTTTCAGGTTTAGCAACAAGACATCCATATTTATTCGCGACTTCACGAGCAACCTGGTCAATAAAATCATACATATATTTTTTACTTTATTAAATAACAAAAAAAAAAAAACAAAAGAAAAAAGTAATATTATTCTTTTTTATATTATCTTTACCTTTGTACCTAAGATCGTACATAAACCTCGATGTGTATTATGAAATTTCATCATTTCTTTCAACGGAAAACTACAAGCAACGTCTGCATTAAGTACGAATATTTGTTGCGGATCACCTCGTTGAATTTCGTCTCTAAAATGATAAAGACCACCTGCCGTTCCCAAGGACTGATATTCTCGAAGATATCTAAAAAAAAGTGATTCTTTTTTTTAAATTTCACACGTTGTCATTATAATTAAGAATGAATGAATTACCGTATATTAATCTTCGGGAATTCTCTTGCTGCATCATCAATAAACCTATGAAAGATAGAGTCTTCAAAAAAACCAATCAATAAAACCTCTTTCAGCCCTTCAATTTTAGATAATGCTTCCAAATGATGCCAGATGATTGGGTGGCCTGCTACGGGAAACAACGGTTTTGGAACGTTAAGATTAAGAGAAAGTGGTCGAAACCTTGTACCACGAGAAGGTCCGCCAACAAGAATAATTGCTTTATAAACATTCATGAGAATTTAATTTTTTCAAAAAAAATAAATAGAAAAATTTTAAAAAAATTGAAAAACTAGAATTTTGCGTGACATGCGTTAATTGCATAATTGTTCGTGTAACTTTCACAAAACTAAAAATTTTTGTTTCCAAGATTTATTGAAAACAAATTATGGATGAAAAATCACGCGATCAAATTTTACGAGGAACTATTTATACAGGTATTTAATACCTTTTTCTTCTTTTTTTTAAAAAAAATACTGTTCCTATTAAAACAATTGACATATTACATTATTATGATTCTTTGAAGTTGGGATAGGAGCAACCACAGGAAGTCTAGTTGCGTATATAAAAAATAGACCTATAATTCATTATACAATCTTTACGGGAATAAATTGTGGAATTTTTGGGTTAACATTTTTTAGTAAGCGAAAACAAAGCTTAATATAAAGTATTTAAAATAATTTTTAATTTATAAAATTTTATTCTTGATTCGATAGGTATTAGAGATGCTTGTTTATCATTTCAAAAGAGCAAAAATCCTGATTATGGATTATTAGATTCTCAGACAAGAGATATTGATTATTTGATCAGCAGTACACTTTCCGGTGGTTTAACCGGTGGATTTCTATCGGCTGTAAAACGTAAGCAAGTTATTTAAAAGATTCACGCAAAAATTCTTGAATTTTGAAAAATGATATTAATTTAAATTATGAAAAAGGTGGACCGAGAGCAACCATGTCGGGATTTGTTTTATTCTCTGTTTTATGTGGTGCAGGGCAAATATGTTATAGTTCCATATATAATTACAGACAACGATTAATCCTTAAATCATCAAATCAAGATCAATTACAACCTTTCAACACATCGTCCCAGGATTCTAATATTCAGAATGAAAAGAAAAAACTCGGTTTTTTAGATCGGTTGGCCGCAATAAAATGGTCACCCATTACAAAGCTATCCGAAGAACAGTATAAAGAGCATATGAAAGCCAAAGAAGAAAAACGATTAGGGGATTCTAATAAAACTAAAAATAATGATGAATGAAAACTTTTTAATGCTTAACATTATATACTTCTTTCACTTAACTTACGCAAATGAAATGTGAATAAGAAAATTTTATTGAAATATTTATTCTTGTTGCAAGAAAGGATTATCGATTTCTTCTGTTCCTTCCAACGGGGATATTAATATTACAGCTGGTCCACGACAAACAATTAATCCGAGCGACCTAGCCTCATTTAATAATCGATTATCCTCAGGATCTAATTATAATTGATTTGATAATGAACATAATATAAAAAAAATATATATATATTAAATAAAGACAATTCTTACCTCTAAGAAATTCCTCAGTGTCATCAAGAACTAAATTCAATAACGGATCATATCCTTTCAATGACCCTATTACTATTATTTGGATTGATGTGGATAATTTTGCAAAAATAATAAATAATTTTATAAAGATTTAAATTTTAAATATACCTTCGCGCCCCCCATTAAATTTGACGCGTATTTTTTTGTCCATATATTTTGAAAGATCAAGTATTGATTCTTTTTTAGGTTTTGTATCCTGCCCAAACGTGCTTCCACCTCTTCCTCTACTACTTCCTCTTGAACCACGTGCTGCTCCTCTGCCTCTACCCTTTAAAAAAGGCAAAATAAGATAAGATAAATAAATAAATATTAAAAAATATTATAAACGTAAAGATATGAATGAAATTAATTACTCTTTCAGACATTTTACAAAAAAGAGTTGGAAAAAATAAAAAAGGATAAAAAATTATTTTTCCAGATAAGGAAGCTTGCCTCCAAGTGATACGCATTAGGCCATTTATAGTAAATCTAATTTTAAAAGTCTTCTAGAAATTCTAGAATCAGATGAACCGTCTAAAAAATTATTTTGGATTTTCTAGTTCTGATTTTGGTAGTATAGTTTTATTTCATGGTTATGGTCGCCGAAACAGCTCTAACAAAAGTATCTCAACTTATACGACAGTCAATTCCTGATGTTGACGACGCGATCGTAGAATATGTACTTGGTTATTTAGATGAAGCTCCTTCAGCGGTAGACGGAGAGGATGCGATCGGCGATTTTATTCAGCCCATTTTACTTGATGCATGTGGCGACGAAAAAAGAATTCAACAACTTTGTGAAAAGTTATCCAACCTTCTTATCAAAAATGAAAATGATCAACCAAATAATAATGTGCTTGCCAAATTGAAACAACCAGTTAACATGCTCTCACACAATTCTATCTCTGCAACTGCACGTTTAGTGTCTTCAAGTGTAGATCTGGAAGCTGTGAGTGGTAGAAAAGTTAATACTAGAGTAGATACTAAAAAATTAGAAAAAGCTGAAGCAAAGCTCAAAGCTAAAATAGAGAAACGCGAACGTAGAACTAATTATGAGGCCAGTAAATTGATTAATAAGAATGCAGATAATGAGTTTTATATGCAAGTAAATCCAATTCTTGATTATACGTCAACAAAAGGAAAGGTTAAAGATGTTAAGATTGAAAATTTTGATATTTCCTTTGGTGGTAAAAGAATTCTCACAAATGCCAACTTAACGTTGGTATATGGTAGACGTTATGGTTTAGTTGGAAGAAATGGTATTGGGAAATCAACTTTGCTAAGAACTATGTCAAAAAGAGAGATAGCTGTACCAACTCATATTAGTATTTTGCATGTTGAACAAGAGGTAAAAGATCATATCATCATCAAGACGTTTTGAAATTACAAGTTTAGAATCGTTGAATTAATTTTTGGGTTTTGGGTCAACTTATTATAATTGTAGATGATTGGTGATGATAGAGAGGCTATTCAAGCTGTATTAAGTGCAGATGTTTGGAGAGAACATTTGTTAAATGAGGAGATATCATTAAATGAACAAATCGGTCAGCTTGAGACTTCAACTGATCCTGATATTGATCCGAATTCGATTGAGGAGATGAAAAATTCTTTAAATTCAAAACTTAAAGAAGTATATCAAAAATTAGAAGATATCGAGAGTGATAAGGCTGAGTCTCGGTAAATTTTTTTTTTGAACAGTGAACATTCCAAAATTCTATGTATGAGAATGGTATTTTATTATTAAATCAATTTATACATTAAAAGTGCTGCAGAAATTTTGTCTGGGCTGGGATTTCCAGCAGATAAACATCGAAATGCCACAAGGACATTTTCTGGGGGTTGGCGTATGCGTCTTGCGTTAGCTAGAGCTTTGTTTTGTCGTCCTGATTTATTATTACTGGACGAACCGACAAATATGTTGGATGTAAGAACTGTTTAAATTATATATATCTTTTTTTATATATTACACATTTATATTAAATTTGATTACGCAATTTCCTTTAAAGATCCCTGCAGTTGCGTGGTTAGAACAATACTTAAAAAAATGGCCAAGTAGTCTTCTTGTTGTTTCTCACGATCGAGGTATTCAATTACGAGACAAAATGATTGATATTTCAATTACATTTATTCATCAATTGAACTAGAACCTTTTTGATTTTAGAATTTCTTGATGAAGTCGCGACAGACATTTTACATCAACATTCAGAGCGACTTGATTATTACAAGGGTAATTTCTCGCAGTTCTATTCTACTAAAGAAGAGCGTCGTAAGAATCATCAACGTGAATATGAAAGCCAAATGCAATTTAGACAACATTTACAAGATTTCATTGATCGTTGGAGATATAATGCAAAAAGGGCACCTCAGGCTCAAAGTAAGATTAAAGTTTTGGAAAAACTTCCAGTTTTGGAACCACCAGAAATAGAAGCTACTGTAACTTTCAGGTAATTATCAATAAATTCGATCTAACCTAAAGATTCACAGTAATTATTAACGAAGTTTGATTTGTTCTGTCAAGGTTTCCTAATCCAGATCCATTAAGTCCACCTATTCTTCAGTTAAGCGATGTTAGCTTTAGATATGAAACGGGAGATAACATTATTACAGATGTTAATCTTTCCGTTCAATTGGATTCTCGAATTGCAGTTGTTGGTTAGCTTTGCTTTGTTTCGTTATATTCATTAATTTTTTTTTAATTTAATCATTAAGTGATTGTCATATTTGAAATTGTTTATAGGCCCTAATGGTGCAGGTAAATCGACACTACTCAAGTTATTAACAGGTATACTTGAACCGAAAACTGGCCAAATGCATCGACACGGACGTCTTAGATTTGCGCATTTTATGCAGCATCATGTGGACCAGTTGGATCTTAATACAAGTCCTACAGGTTTTATGGCACAGAAATTTCCTGGTAGAAGCGAAGAAGAGTATCGTAGGCAATTAGGAAACTTTGGTATTACGGGAATGACTGGATTACAGTCATTAGAAACACTGTCCGGGGGTCAAAAAAGTAGAGTTACCTTCGCGTGCTTAGGTTTACAAAATCCACATATATTGATCCTTGATGAGGTAAATTAATATAATTCCTATAATTTATTTAATAAACATGTATATATTAATATTATATTTTCTTGTAAACAGCCTACCAATCATCTTGATATGGATTCAATTGACGCATTGACAAACGCTCTTAGAGAATTTAAAGGTGGTGTGATTCTTGTTTCCCACGATGAAAGATTCATAGATTCTATTAGTACGGAAATTTGGGTTTGTGAAGGTGGAAAGGTTAGGAAATTTGAAGGCGAAAACATCAGACAATATAGAAATACAATCATCCCAAAAGAGGAACCTTAATATTTATTTATACTATTTTTTTTTTTTTTGTTGCTAAAATATTTATTACAACTTTTTGCTATAATTTTCGATTATTTAATATTAATTTGAGTGCTGAAGCGGGTACAATGAAGTTTCCAATAATTTAAGTTCGGCGCCAATCAAATTTAGCGATATTTTTAGGATCTAAACTGTAGAAGTTATTTTATTATTAAAATTTAAGGTTCCGTAATGAGATATGTTAAAAACCAAAAAACAAAAAAGGGTTGATCATTTCCGGTATCTTATGTATGCTCTTTAGCAGTTAATTTTATCAGTGAATAAATTAAGTGTAAGAGATCTCTTCAAATGGTTGTGATTATTTATTGGGTGATCAAGCGAGAATATTAATTCAAGCGAAGTGATTAAGGAAATTTCATCTCATCAACGAAAAAGCATATAATTCTTTCTCAAGCGCCATTGTGATGGTTTGCTGTTAAACAAAATACATCGTAACAGAATTTTTTTTTCCCTTGTAATAATTGCTTATACTGCAACTCTTTTAACCCATTCTTTTGTTGTTTACCATTATTATCATAAGTGGGAAAAAAATTTTATTAACCATTTTTATAAAATTTAACAAAAAATGAATATTATTAAATAAATTTGTATTCAACTGTCTTTCTTTTTTTCTTTTCCTTTTTTTTTTTTTTTTTTTACAACTTGCCATTAAAAAAAAAATAAAATAAAAAAATAAAATAAAAGAAATGAAAGAACATTATTCTTATTGGAAAAAGTTGAATTTACTTAACTTTCTCTTATTAAATTAAAATGATAAATGATAAAGTAAGAAGAGTGAATGATAAATCAATAATAATTATAAAAAAAAAACATCATAACAGAAATTAGAATTTACTTTACGATTTGCTAATCTTATTTCTTGCGTATGACTTTAGCTGCATCAAATGCCTCTCGTTCAGCTTCTTCAAAAGCTACCTGATCAACATATGGTTTGAGATATCTGACATCCTATAATATAAATTACGTCGTGTTATAAATCTTTAATTCTTAATTTTCAATCATAATTCCGATTCGATACGATTTTTTTTTTAAAAAAAAAGAGAGAGAAAAGATTCTCAATGACATAAATATTATCTCCCCGAAAACTTACGTCAACAGGCTTAATCCATTTATCTTTGGGCAAAATTTCGTTTCTTATACTAAGTTGGAAAGCATTACGAAGTCGTAAAGTTCTTTGATCATATTCATCTCGAGGGACACGCTTTAATGCTTCCTGCACTGTTGTACTTTCTTCAGCTATAACATCATCATATCTCAATCCTTTTAAACCAAATCATTTAGTAAACATGAATTCTCGAATGGGTGACAATAATGCCTCTCGTAGCACATACCAAGTTGTCTATATCCTGCAATATTTGTGTACCAGTTAGCAACTGGTTTCAAAAGACTGTAGAGGAAACGACTTTTTGTGATTGTATTGTAAAGCGTTGGATAAGACATGATTAATAAATTTAAATAAATTTTCTTGTAAGATTTTCTTGCAAAGAATTATTAGGTGGATCTACCCCGATTTAGAATGATTTATTACGTAAACATACAGGCATTACATAAATAATTGGCGGAGGTTTTTTTTATAATTAAATAAATATTTATTATTTTATTATTCTTCTGAGAGAATACGGTATTTTTTTCCTAATTCAAATTTATCGATTATATAACCTTCAAGATCAAATGCCTTCCATATTATCTTATCTGACCAAATTTCCATGAAAATATAATGATGCGTTTGCCTCAAGACATTATAAAAAGACCAATCTTCCACTCTATCAAAATCTAATTTACCACCTGCACCTCCAATTATGGTGTAAACGGTTTCATCCGATTGACCACGTTGATAATTATGTTGATGACCACTAATGACGAGATCTACACCATGTTTACGAAATAAAGGTTCGAACCTTGTTCGAACAAATTCACCCCAATGCTTTTCATTTTTTTCATGCCAAGCGACAGGTTCCCAAAATTCCATAAAAGGAGGAATATGTACTACCACAATCTTAAAACTCGCATTTTGAGTTTCCGGGGAAGTAAGTTCACGAGATAACCATAAATCTTGTCTCTCATCATCGATATTACTATCCAACACGATCCATCGAGTATTCGCGATCGTAAACGAGTACCAAAGTGCACCTGTCGTGTACATGCTTGATTTCTTTGGATCAAAGTCATGATTACCGTGAGCGTAAATTAATGGGGCGTGTTGCGCTAAATTATAACTTGTCAAAGGATCATAAAAATCCGTCTGCCACTGCTGTAAATTGTCAAATTCTTGCACAACATCACCTGCGTGTATAATAAAATTTGGGGAATGTCGTCGTGACGCTAATCGAGCAAGACGATCAAAGACGTATGATCCAAATTGATTGTCTGCAAATGCAACGATTTGAATTGGATAGGTTAATTTGGTACCATCAGGAACGGAAGGAAAGAATTGAAAGGAATGAGAAGAAATTATTTGTTTCCTTTGACCGTGTACTATCTCATACACGTAATTTCCAACTGACGTAAGTGGTCCTATTATGCCTTTATATACATGATGCGAGTCATCAATATTTGATGGTTTCAGAATATCTGACGTGTTGATCTCTATGGTTTCGTTGACGATTGATTTTTCGTACCATTGGATTCTAACGTTCTTTAATACGCAGTTAGCTTCCCACACCACCATTACATTTTGTGTATCGATGATAAATAAAATTGGTTCTTTTCTTAATGAACAAGGCAGCAGACCATTATTATAAAGATGATTCCTAAATTTATATTTTACATACACATTATACATGTGAAATAAAGGCCAAATTAGAAAAAGTATGAAACAAAACGCTAACAATACAAAGAAATATCGTTTCAATATTCGAACACTTCGTTTTGTTTCCAAGCATATTATCTTTTGAAATAAACGTATTGCTTTTTTAAAAGTGTTTGGACGTTCTTCACTATATAGTCCTAAATGTTGCATTATGATAGTTCGAGTTCTCATTTAGTTCTTGATAAAAAGTTGCGGTGGGTAAACGGGAAGGGTTATAAGCCATTGCTTTTTTAGGTGACGCCCCCCCCCCCCGGTTGAAACTAACCGCGTTTCCGTTAATCCATTGAGATCACGGGATGATATTTATATATTTATTAAATTTATATGATGGTACAGTTTGCTTTTTTGGATCGATTTTAAATTCTTTTTTAAATTTGATGAACCTTTAAGTTATTAATTTGATATTGACTTGACCTATTAGAAGCTCTAATTTTAATACGTGAATGTAAATTGTTTTAGAAAATGTTTTTAATGGGATAAATTATTTGATTGGCCATCATAGAACACGGGGGATGCAATTCAAAGGTTGTCAATACCATGCTGACATATAAATGATATGATTAGGTAATGTTTCGAATGTATGTATAGTATGATCCTTTTTTTTTTATTAATGGTATGTATACTATGATTTTTCATAACAAATAGTCTATATGTTCAGTGAAGTAAAATCGGTGGCTTAAAGATTATTTTATAAACTGCAAAAAAAATTACTATATTTATTTGATTTATAATTTTATATATATGTATATATTATTATTATTATTATTTTTTATTTTTTTAGATAATTCTTTTTGAAATTTATTAAAAAAAGAAAAATGCTTAAAAAAAATTTTAATGTTATTATTATAGAAATGAGTAAAAAGAGAGGGAAGGATGTTCTTTTAATATGTTATATAATTCACAGAATTATATATAATTAATTCGGAATTATAAAGATGAAAAAATGTTCTAATAAATATTCGATCATTTTTATAAATAAAAATAGTATACATTATTATTCACTATTAATACATCATGAACAAATTTTTTCTATACACGCGTGTGATCCTCAGATTTGTTTTGGTGGTTCGGCAGCAGGTTGTTTTGGCGGTTAGGCGGGTTGTTTTGGTGGTTCGACAGCAGGATCCGCGGGTTGTTTTGGTGGTTCGGCAGCTGGGTCAGCGGGTTGTTTAGGTGGTTCGGCAGCTGGGTCAGAAGCAGGATCGGGAGTTGTCGCAGGTGCATCTAATGGTGATGGACGTGCTACTTCAAATGGACATTGAAATTCTGCAACTGGTATGGTTTTTGTTGGTTTATGAACCCAATCTAATCCCATTATCAACATTTTAAAGTCTAATCTAAGATTCAAAACTCCTCTAGTTTCGCCTTCCGGTGGCTGAGTACATGCGCTAATAAAATCTTGAATTACTGGATCATTTGGTTGTGAACCAACATAATCAATCGAAATAGGGATGGAAACTTTTGTTTTTGCCCTTCCTGGAATTAAAAACCCCTTTTTGCTACTAGTAGTTAGTGGTCTGTTATATGAACTAAGTCTTGCCGAATTATAGACCTATAAAAACAATAATATTATAAAGTTAGAAAAGATAAATGAATGAATAAATATTTAGGAAAAAAAAAAAAAAAAAACTCCCTCTTACATCAACATTAAGTGAATTGAATTTAAAGGGTAACCAATTCTCTCTATTGTCAAATTCAATTTGCAATTCCATATCCATTTGTGTAGCTACGGGGTTTAGGGTAATTACTGCATCACCCACTGGTGTTGCTGGTAAAATTTCAATTTTAGGAATACGTGGCCACACAAAAAACGTTCCACCTGCTAATAACACTAAGAGGATAAAAGTGGTTATCACGCAAATTTTTCTTGAACAGAGAGCACATCGTCGTCCCTTTTTAGGGGTGACTACAAAGTGATCTCCGGTTGCTGAATGTCGGGCCGACTTTCCAGTGCTCGTTACATTATCGATGTTCATGGCATATGCATCATTTCCTGTTAGGGTATTGTTGCGTGTTCCCTCATCATCGTAAGTCTCATCCTTCGGATGGTTGTTATTAAAGTCATGGTAAACATCAAATTGCGATTGTGGATCTTGTTGATAACGATTATCGTACGGTTCATCCTTCTGATAGTTATTATTAATGTTATTAAAATCATTATAAACATCTAATGGCGGTTGTGAATTTGGTGAATAATTTTGATAACGATTATCGTACGGCTCATCATTCTGATAGTTATTATTATAATCATCATAAACTTCAAGTTTCGGTTGTGAATTTGGCGGAAAATCATGATAATGATTTTCTTCCAAATAGTCCGGTATATAATTATTTTCATTCTGATAACCTTGTTGAGTGAGTCCTACTGCGCTATTATGCGTGTTTGTGGAAGCAGCAATAGGGGAAGGTGGATCATCTTCATGATGAAAAGGTTCGTTACGTATGAACTGGCCGCGTGGCTCCATTGAATTAAAAGGTTGTCCTTGATAATATTGCATATTACTTGAAGGTGCACCTCCCGATACACTCGGTTGAGAATAAATGGAAGAAGTTATCGATGCACTGTCGTTATCATCCGCTCTCCCGCGTGGTGTACCTACAGCCGTAGAAGAGCTCATGTAAGAATCCGAACCTAAAGTACCAACCAAATATACATCAACTAGTCATATTCACATTGCTTTCCCCCAACATTTCCGTTCATTTTTTATAAAATTTTATTGCGGGTTTTTTCAATCCTCTTAAAAGTAAGTAAACGAAATAATTCTACAGTTGAACACTTTTTTCACTTATCTTTGTCAGAATCCAATTGGAAATATCAAAAGTTTCTATATAATACATAAAAGCAAAAGGTAAAAAAAAAAAAAATTTACCTCTTGTATTTAAATTTTGTGTTGAGTAAGGAATATTATTTCCTTGAACTCGTGGATTATTTGCAAATCCACCATCATATTCTCTTTGGTCGCCAGAACCATTATTATAATATTGATCTTGAAAATATGACATTTAGGTATTAATATATGTTTAGCACATAAAACTTGTAAAGAATTATGTAAGATTCTATGTTTGTCGAACGAGTTGGTGTAGGAAGGGAGAATAGAGTCTTTGCTTTCTCGTATTATTGTATTAATACTACATAATAAGGAAAAGAACGTATAAATACTCGAAGGGTTTAAATATAAACACATTACTTGAAAAGTATTGTAAAATCAACATTTTCAACAAAACGAATTCTTACCTTGATCTTTTCAGTCAAGGGTTAATACTAATAGAGAAATTAATGAGCTCTTTGAAAATGTATAATGAATGAATAAAGGAGGGACGTTAATATTAAAAAAAAAAAAACGGGGAAAGATGGTTAATAATTTGAAAGAAAAAATACCCTCGGTTATTGAGTTATTTTTTTTTTTTAAAGTGCTACAACCAATATTGCAACTAAAAATTCATTAATTATTCTGACCACTCAAATGAAATTGAAATTTGAGGTGCTTGAACATTTTTACAGTTTATTTACGTCGATCAATATATGGGAATTAGCTGTAATATAAATTAATTTAATCTAGAATTCTAACTTTTTTTTATAGAACAATCAATCTATTCCCAATCAAATTCGGGTTGGACCCAGGCGTAGGGATAAACCCCGATTAATATGACAAGAACCAGCATACGCAGCACAATTTATTATATTGTTCGATTTATTTTGGGTAACTTCTCTTTGTCTCGGGAAAAATGATTAATCAAATTTCGACCGAAATATATTTGTTCAAATACGTCGCACTAAGTAATTACTTGATACTTGGTTTTTTTAGCGTTAGTAACGATACAGCTGAAATTGTAGTACGAATATTAGATCCCGTTTCGCAATGCACATCAAACATATAACGTTTGAAGACGGACTATTTAACATCATGGATGCTCGCGTGACTTACGAAAATGGGATGGTCTTATGGTCGTTGCCTTCGAAATAGGTAATGATATTTCACGATCAATGAAATCATGAATGCATAACATAACACGTCATAATCTATCATAGCGTTACCTATAATAACAAAAATATTAATTATTGCTTTTAATTTTAGTATCTACGCTTTTTTCTATATAACATATTCAAAATTAATTCATTAAATTAGATCCTCCGTTTTAATAAAAAATCTGCTTTCAAGTTTAATTTAGAATATGAAAAAAAAAAAATTATTGATTTAGGTTTTTGCTTTTTGTAATTTATATAAGCCGAACATGCTTAACTATAATAATCTACTTTTTAATCATACAAGTATAATTACCCGAAATATTCAAATAAAAAGTTTTTTTTGAAAAAAAGATCGGCAATCTAAAATTAGTACTATATGCATTTTAATAATTAAAAAATTAAATTTAATCTTCATATTTTCTAAAAATAACCATAAACCATGATGTAATTTATGACGATCAAATAAATTAATAAATTCCAATTTTGGTTTGAATTTAGTATGAAATCTATGAAAAATTTTGAACAGCTGACTTTTCAAATTATTACTATTTTATTATGTTAATAATCTTCCCCTAATAGTCATCCTATATATAGTATTGGAGAAATCATTTCCAGTTACACGTAATTTTATATCTATAAGAAGATAATTTAAGTAAAACATATTTAATATAATTATGATAATTATTATAATTGCTATAATTAAAATACAAGTTAATAAAAAAATAATTTACTTTCTATAACTTAATTTTATATACAATACTTTTTATTAGATCTATTGATAATTATAGTATTCAAGAGATAATATTATTTATGATATAAAAATTCTAACATTACTAAATATTTTTGCTCATTTTATAATAGAAATAAATTATACAACCTTTTTAAAAAGTATTATAAAATATATAAAAAAATTTTTTAATGAATTAAATAATTTATATAAATTATTTTCTAATATAGATATATTTATTTCTATACATATTTAATTTTTTTAAATTATTTATATAGGTAATATATAGTTTTTTATATATTTCAGGTTAATTAAAAGAGTATTTATATTTTATATATACTGTATTCCTCTAAAAATAAGCAATGTAATTTTATTATAATGTTGCTTATTTTGGGTAGTTAAATTTTTTAATGTACTATATGTTAAAATTTTGATTTTTCGTATTATAAAACTAACATAACTCTAACGTAATCACTGATCATTTAATATATGTTATATGCATCATGAACTGATTTATGAACTTGATTTATGCTAGTTATTACGTCAATTACAACAAATAAAAAATGCTAATTATTCTATATATTTGAATAGTAAATGAAGATGTTTAAGAAACTATCACAGAAAATCTTCGTCTTGCTATATTAAGTAATATATGTTTGTTAGTAAAATTTGCTTGAAAAGCAATCTATAATAAAACAATCATAAAATCTTTCAAAACTTGTAAAATTTCAATTAATTTAAATGAATCAGTTTTTGAATTAAAAATTAGTAATGGTGATGATAGAGATAATGATGATAATACTGGTAGTGATAATTGTAGTGATGATAATATTGATAATATTGATAATAATACTAATAGTGATGATTATGGTGATGATAATACTGGTAGTGATGATTGTAATGATAATGATAATAGTTATGCTAGTAATAATAACTAGCGAAGTTGTTAGTGATAGAAGTGATTAATATGTTTACTTGTATTAAAATTTAATGATTAATAGTGTATATTTTATGATAGTGATATAAGCAATTATTTTATAAAAATTCATTAATAAAATACTTTTTTTGTTTTATTTGAGCTTTATTTTATTATTTAAAATGTTCTTATTCATTACAAATAGTTTTAATACGAAATTAATTAAATATTTAGTATATTGCTTATTTTTGGATGTGATTTATTTTAAGGGTTGCTTATTTTTAGAAGTTGCTTATTTTCAGAAGAATACAGTATTCATATTACTACTTTATTATACAACTATTTACAATAATAATAAATTTAATTTATATTTTTTTTCTATTAACTTTAAATTAATATAACTTTTATTAGTATATATAATTAAAAATTATATAATTTAAAATTTAAAAAAAAAGCTTTTTTTATATTTTTTTAATTAATATTCTAAATATTTTTGATATAAATGTATATAATATTAAAATATTATTTTACAAATTTTATCTTTATTTAATACTTTTTTTTTAATTATAATAAATATTAATTATATAAATATTTTATAATAGACAAGAAGTAAACTATTAAAAAATTTATTTTTAAATATGAATTTACTTTACTAAAAAAATTATATTTAGTTATAAATTAAAATTTTTTTTGGTAATTTTTTTCCTTAAAGTTTCTATATAATTATTAATGATGTTGAGCAAAGCTAAAATATTTAATCATATGATAAAACTAAAACTATTTAATTTTTAATAATTAAATACTGAAATGCTAAAACTTTATTTTCATAGATTTTTTATGAAATTTTTTATAAATTTTAATTTACAATTTTTAATAATATTTTATTTTATTATAAATTTTAAAAATTTAGAATTTTTGTAAACAAAATATGATTTATTATATTTTGTTTACTACAGTCAACTCTTAATATAGTAAACTCTTGATATAATGAATTTTTTGAACAAATATAATAAAAATAATCTTATATAATGAATTAGCTAATCAAATTTCTTAAAATCTTCACTATAACCTTATAGTGAAGTTAAAGTCTAGAATATAAAATTCATTATAATAAGAGTTAACTGTATATAGGAAGTTTAATAGAAAAATTGTATGCTAAAAATTTTTAATAAAATATTGTTTTTTATTATATTTTAGTTTTTGATATTATTAGATTAAATGTAATAAGATCTTAATTTTAGTCAAAAAAATTTTCAGAACCTAATTTTTCTAACAAATTTTTCATATAAATAATTTTTATTTTATAATATTTATTAGTAATATTTTTTGAATTAATATAAATAATAAAATATTTAAGTTAAAATAATAAATATTGAATAATAATATATTCTTTAATAAATAAAAATTTAAAATTTATATATTATAAAGCAATTTAATCATTTAGTTATTTGCTAAAAATTTAGTTAAAGTTTAAACTTTAGTCAAGAATTTAGTTAACATAAAATTTGATAAAAGTTAGTCATAATAGAAATAATTAGACAGGGCATCACTAATAATTATTATGTTATTTTCATTTATTTTAAATTTTTTATTATTATTAAATAAAAAAAATAGTATATTATATTTAATTTGTAAAATTTTGTTTAATATAAATTTTTTGCTTTTATTATTATTAATATAAATCTTTAATTTTTTATTTTAAAAAATATTGTTAAAGGTTTATAATTTTAGATAATTTTAAACTGATTTTTATATAATAATACTTTTATAAATTATTCTTTTTAAATGTAATATATAGTATAAGACATTTACAATTAAAAGAAAAAAATTGCAAAAATATTAATTTTACTTTTATATGATAAATATAATGTTAAGATTAATAATTATTTATTTTCTTTTTATTAAAATTTTATTGAATTTTTTATTTTATTTTGTTTTAATTAATATTAGATTTTGTTTACATTAAAAAATAAGTATTTATTAAACTAATTAATATAAAATTATTAATATAAAGGTGCTTATTATTTAAAATTATACTTGCTAATAATAATAAAAAATATATATATATTTTTTTTATAGTAATCCAGTAATCTAGTAATCCAATTAACAGAATATCACGTAATTCGCAATTGTCACCTTAACATTTCAGATTGCAAAAAGATTGATAGCCATTAACCAATAAAAATCGGTTCGTAAAAAAAAAAAAAAAATTCGCGTTCTAGTTAAAAAAGAATCGATTTTTAATTTTTTTCTTTTTTTTAAAAAATATATATATCAAAAAAAAAAAACTAAAAAAAAAAAAAAATGGATACCCGCGAAGTATATCAACTCTTCAGCGCAACGTATCATTCTAATCCCAGTTTGCAAAAGCAGGCTGAAGAACGGTTGAAACAGGTGCAATTTCAATAATTGACTTCTTTAATAAATTAATATATAAACCTTTTGGTATTTGTTTTGTTTCCGATAGGTGGAAGGTGCACCAGGCTTTATTTCGATACTTATTCAGATACTAGGTTCGGAAGAAACTGAGGCTGGAACAAAACAAGCTGGTACGTAAGACGGCTTATGAGGGGCTATTTCCCAACCTCATTATTAGTAAAAGTTTATTTTTTTAACATTCGGTTTTTTGAATTTTAAAAGTTTCGATATATCTCAAAAATCGAATCAGACATTCTTGGAACTTTGAAGACGCAGCAGCTTATAAATCTACTTCAATTGATCAACAAGACCGCGATGCATTTAAAGCAAATATATTGCATATTATGGTAACAGTCCCTAATAATGTGAGGTATGAATTAATCAGAATATTCATTATTTACTTCGGTGCCTGATCATTTAATAACAAATCTTAATTAGGGTTCAACTTTTGGATTCTTTGAATCGAGTTCTAGTAAATGATTTTCCAGACAAATGGCTCGATTATATGACTCAAATACACGCTCTTCTGGGCACAAATGATGCTAAAATGGCATATGTTGGATTATTAGCTTTACAACAAATCGTGAAAGTATATCAGTGAGTTGGTCTCAAGTATTCTAGTTAATTTTTTTTTTTTTTTTAATGTATTAGTCTAATTATTGATTCACGTTACCTTTTCTTTATTAGATGGAAGGTAATCGAAAATAGAGCTCCTTTAATCGAAATAATCGAATCCACTTTTCCGATCGCGTTACAAATGGCGCAATCATTATGTAATGAAAATAGTCTGGATGCTGCTGAAATGTTGCGAATAATTTTAAAGACTTATAGTTCAGCGACACAAGTAATTGAGGATTGTTGTTTGAAGTTTTTAACTACATTATGATCGTGTAATAATTTTTTTATTTTTTTTTAGTATGAGCTTGCGGAACCTCTTCAAAACAATTCTTCTCTAGTTCCATGGATTACTCTAATGTTACATATAATTGAGAAACCTATTCCTCCGGAAATAATACCCGAAGATCTCGAAGAAAGACAAAAGTTTATGTGGTACCGAGTAAAAAGATGGTCGTGTCAGAATTTGAATAGGATTTTCTCAAGGTATGGAAATCCAGCTCAACTTGGACAATCTTCAAGAAAATATGCGGCATTTGCAGAAAATTTTAGTCAACAGTTTGGATCTCAGATATTACGAGTTTACCTTCAACAAACTGAACTTTGGATTAAAAAAGAGGTTTGGTTAAGCCAAAAAGTCTTACTCTTTTTTGCCGATTTTTACAAGGACGCGTAAGTAACGTGTAAAAATTTACTAGTAATATTTATTATTATTATTTTTTTTTTTGATCAAAGAAAAATAAAGTTCTTGCTTGATTTCATTTTAGCCTTACACATAAACTTACTTGGCAAATAATGAAGCCATATGCTGAGACCCTTGTATCACATTTTATATTTCCTCAATTGTGCTTTTCTAAGGAAGACGAGGAATTATGGGTTGAAGATCCTGTTGATTACGTTCATAAGAAATTAGATCCGCTGGAGGAATTTACTACTCCAATTACTTCAACCATAACTTTTCTTATGGATTTAGCAAAATACAGACATAAATTTATATTTAAGAAGATTTTGAATTTTATTCATAATGTGCTCAATACTTATCGGGATGCTCCACCTGAATCCAAGGATCCAAGTCAAAAAGACGGTGCTTTAAAAATGATTGGCTGTATTTCAGATCTGATTTTACGTAAAAAATCGGGAATATCTCAACATATGGAACCCTTCTTTACCACTTATGTGTTTCCTGAGTTTCAGAGCCAATATCCTTATTTAAGAGCGAGAGTAAGTTTGTTGAAAATGATTATAGCATATAATTTTTTATAACAACTTTTCTTTAAATGATTAAATTTGTCAAAATTAGGCATGTGACATGCTGGTAAAATTCAGTGATCTGAATTTCGAGAATGAGGCAAACCTTGCGACTGCGTTTCAAGGCGTTACAACCTGCATGCGAGATACAGAGCTTCCTGTTAAGGTTCAAGCTTGTTTATCTCTTCAGTGTATGATACGACACGAGACAGGTATGTCCTTATATTCAAGCGGATTACTATTGCATTAAATAAATATAGATCTTGTTAATATTTTTCATTTTAGTGAGAAATGCGCTTATACCTAATCTTCCGATGATAATGCAAGGTTTATAAAATTAATATTAAAAAATAATATTCTCAATATAAAGATATATGTGTAATACTTATAATTTTGTTAAATCAGAACTCCTCGACCTTACAAATCAGATCGATGCTGACACTCTTTCAAGTGTTATGGAAGAATTCGTTGAAGTGTTCTCGGAAGAATTAACCCCATTTGCTATTCAACTTACCGAGCAGCTGGTATTGTTATAAATTCAAGTAATTAAAATTCATCTATAAAAGACATAACATTAATACTCATTTATCTATAGAGAAATACGTTCCTGCGTATTATGCACGATTATCAGGAGTCGGAAGCTATTCCTGAGGATGGAAAACTTTTAGATTCATCTGATTTAGATATTAGTGATAAGGCAATGGCTGCTTCCGGTGTTCTCAAGACCATTACCACTGTCCTATTGAGTTTGGAGAGTACGCCAGATCTTCTGGCTCAATTGGAAAATGCGTTATTACCTGTTATAACATATACGCTCGAGAATACAATTACAGGTGAGATGTTTGTAACTATGTAGTAATTATTAATAAGGTTCGCGCAATAATTGTTGGTTTAGTTCTCATATATAGCTTTTAATATTTCAGACTTGTATGATGACATTTATGATATTATCGACACCTGTACTTTCTCAATCAAACAGATATCTCCAACAATGTGGAGAGTTTTTGAATTAATGTATAAAACTTTCAAGGATACAGGCATAGATTACATTGAAGGTATTGGGACATAATAATATATTTTTTTTAAAAATATTATTATCCAAGTTAAATGTACATTTTAATTTAGAAATGTTTCCATCCTTGGATAATTATTTATCGTATGGAACACTAACGTTCATTCAGAGTCCTACATTGCAAGGGATGGTTTGCGATATCATTGAAACGGTAAGTTCATTTGATCAATGGCGCAAAAACCAGCTTGTAATGAAATTCATGAATATCATGGTACTTTGTAGGTCATGACAAGCGATCGGCTAACTGAGAGCGAGCGTACTTGTGGTTGTAAGCTTATTGAATCTGTTTTACTAAATTGTCGCGGAGTTGTAGATCAGGTATGATAATGGAATTTTTTCCTGAATAATTCGTTTCGATCTAATATTTATACCTTTCTATCATTTAAGTATGTAGGATCATTTATTGAATTGATCTTTGTATACTTATCCAATATAAATAACATCTCCTCGTCAAGTTTCAAATTTTATTGTATTGAAGCTGTAAGTTACAAAGTTATTACGCTGTTTTTCTTTAAAAATATAACTAAGTTTTGATGTTTTCAGGTGGTAAACTGTATATATTATAATCCACTTTTGACTCTTCATATCCTTGAAGAACGTAATTTAACTCAAGCGTTCTTCAGCATATGGTTTGAAAATATCAACAAATTTTCACGTGTTCATGATAAGAAATTAGTAATTGTAACTTTATGTTCTTTAATGGAAACACCTGTTGAGCAATTACCACCCATTTTACAAACTGGATGGCCTCAGGTTTTAGAAGTAATTTTGACAACGTTTAGCACTTTACCAAAAGCCGAAGAAAGTAAGTTTTTACAAAGCATTTCTATATTAATCATATTGAGATTAATCTAATTATTTATTAGTTCGAAATGAAATGGAAAAGACATTTGAGAATGATAGTGAAGATGACGACGACGACGACAACGAAGGAGAATCTGAACAAAATAAAGATAATGATGGAGATGATGGTGAGATATAAAATGCATTATCTGTTTTTTTTATGTTTAAGATTATTCATGATTTGTTTATAATATTTAAAGATGATGATGTACAAGATGAAGATACAGAATATTTGGAATTTTTGGCACAAGAGGTAAATTAATTTATAAAAATAATCTTTTAAGTTTAGTTAATTATTTTTAATATTTTCAACTATGGTTATAGGCTGCAAGACATGCACGTAGTGAAGGTGATTATGATGACGACGAAGATGAAGAAGAATTGGAGGAGGAAGTATTATTTGAAACACCATTAGATAAAGTCGACGTTTATATTAGATTTCATGAAGTATTTGTTGGTAATGTATCTGCTTAATCATAACTATTTAGATATTCTATCCCTCATCATTTAAATTTTTTGATTTTTTAGGTGTCCAACAACATTATCCAACTTCGTATAATCTTCTTACAAAAAATCTTGATACAGAAAAACAAAATTTTATAATGAAAATATTTAGTATGGCAGACGAAAGAAAAAAGAATTTGGAAAATCAAACTAATGAAAAATGATGATTAAAAATAATAATAACTATTTGTACATTATCAAAAAAAAGTACGAACCTTATATTCTTATATTGTTTTAGTGAAATATTAATATTTTCATTATTTTAATGCTACAAAAAAAAAAGTAATATTATTATAATAATTAGAAAGCTTTTAAATTTCGCTTATTTATTATTCACCGAACAATGGGATATCAAAAGTCACCGGACACTTAATTAGGAAAAGATTTTTTTCAAAATAAAAAATTTTTCTTATTAAGTAAATAGCTTTTATGAAATAAGTGAGAGAACTTGTGCGTTAAAACGAATTACATTACCTTATTATTTCTTTTCTTAATATGTAGTATGTACCAGTCAAGTGAGATTAATTTCAATAATTCATAAAATTTTTTTATTTAATATCCTACATCCTTTATTTTTATAATATATTAGAATCTTATTTTAAAACTTTTTAAAATAGTTTCCAATATCAGCGTAATGACCAATCTACCTAATAAATACCTTAACTCAATCTACGATTCTATGTTTTAATTTTTTTGTTATGATTTTCTTAATAAACTAAACACTTTTCATATAATAGAACATTATAATCTTTATCTTGAATCAAAGAAATATAATTATTTATTTATCAAAATTTATTTTAAACGTTAACTTACATAACAATATTCACATATGTTAGTTTACTAAATAATGTTACCTATCATGATTTAGTATCTTTATAATAAATAAGGCAAAAAAAATCATTAAAATTAGATTTTTATAACTTAGAAAAATATATACATTTGAAATGCTAGTGAAAGAACAATTGTCAGAATCTTATAAACTGTTAAATAAATGCGCAGTAATTTATAGTAATACGTTACATGTATCACAGGAACAAGTGAATGCACAAAATAATTTCTCAAACTTTTTTGCATATTCTCAAAATTATGTATATTAAAAAGGGCCCCGTGAATCCTTTTGCGCAAGTAAAGCAAAATTAAAATGAGAAAAAAAACTTACCATTATTAACATCATTGAAATTAACAATAAAAGAATATCATCATGATATTTTTCCGGCTCTATAGATGCTCAAAGTCAAAGCGGACATATCACCATTCCTAATCTTTTTAACATACTGTATTTCGCTGAGAAAATCGTGATCGTTAACACGTGCCTCATCAGCGCAGTGAAATACAGAGAAAATCACATGACTGTAACATCAGCCACCAGGGCGCAATATAACATTCTTTGATGTTTTGCGCAGAATCGTACTTGCGATAAAAAATTGAAATATATCTTCACATTAAGCAACGATTTCATGAATATAAGGCAGAATGGAATGCGTGTGAATCGGAAATATTGCATTGTTTATTTTTACCTCAGTTGCTAATCTCTGCTATAGATTCGAAAATTTTCCATTGCGTAACTTAATACTTTATATGGTCCGGGTTGGAATGATATCGATATACATAGGAATGGGTGGAATATATTTCGAAAATCTAGTGTAGAAAAAGTGTATGGGGGTGAGAATCTCATAGTTAGCAAAGTAGATAAGAACGAAACAAGTTACTCGAATTTTTTATAATCATTTCTTATTAAGAAATCGATATTTCAGCCAATTAATAAGAATATACTTCGGACTTACAAAACGTGTCTTGATAATAATCAACAAAGTTTATTCAGGCTTAAGACGCAATAAAAGTTAAACTTTTGAATCATATATAAAACATATAAAACTCTTTTTCATTTTATTTTAACTCTTTCTACTAATATTTTACTCAATCACCAACTCTTCTACCATGAGTCTCTCTAAAACTATTTGGTTCCAAATCGAAAGTCATTATCACGCAAATAAAATCACCGAAATTTCCCGGAAATGATTTTATTGATCTCCTTAAAGCAATATCAAAAGAAGAAAAACTAACTTGTGTTCAAATCTAACTTTATATGTAAAAAAAATGACCGATTTAAAACGTATCACTTTGGACAACGCAATTTTTAAGGATTGTCAAAGAACTTTATTAAATTAACAGAGGTTTATGAAATCGATGAAGACAACCCGATCGGAGTGAGGCTTCCGGGTTACTATTGTTTAACAACACAAATGTCTGTAAATTTACTAACCTTTTTTGATTACTTAACCCGATTTAGATGCTAAACATCAAGGGAAGCCTTTGTGTCGTCGTAATAATTGGTCAAACACGAACGTGACGTGCTAAACTTTTTGATAGCCGTTGTTTCATCGCTCTGCATCATATTTGCTAATACTCGAAACTTTCCTACGCTTCGTAGGTCATATATGAAACGCAGAAAAATAGAGTGTAAAGAATACAAATCTTTCGATAATAAATATGTTCAAATTCCACTTAAAATATTTAACATGCTTAGCTTCAGCGAATTCGCCCCTGATCCGCGCGTCAGTTTTGCAGCAATAAAGAATCTTCAAGTTGGTCAACATTTTGTTCTCCCAAATTTCGGTCAGGAGCCAAAACATTTTGCTAAGGGTTACCTGGGAAGGAAACTCTATGTTACAAATCGAATGATTAATGTGTGGAATGATATCTCAAAAGATCAACTTCATTCTTTCAAACGCGTTCTGTCGGGCCCAATGGGCATAGGGAAGTCATACTTCGCGTTGTACCTCGCCGCTAGGGCATATGCTAAAAGATGGCTAACACTCTATATCGCAGACGCAAGCTGAGTTAGATGTGGATACACCAGAGGAAGCGGGAGAGGTTATCTGCAATTACTTTCTGGCTCTAAATAGGGATATTTTGACTGGTGACGAGCTTGATATAAGGTTAACATTGCTGAAAAAATTTTGGGAGAGCTACTTAAACAAGTAGAGCGCAAAACATGGTGTATTATTCGAAGATCCTCCAGTGCCTAAAAGACCAATTTTTGAGCCCACTGATGAACCTTACTTTCTGGGCTGTACATTATAAGGGTGTACGTGTAATTTTTACAGGAACTGCACACGCCAAGTATGAGATGAAATACATGAAAAATGGTCAGAACAGATGGTGGACTATTTATATCAGCCCATTAGAGGACAACGTGTTTGATATGTGGTTAGAAACGCACCCTCTTCTGAAGATATCTGGCATTAAAGTTAAAGAAGCTACAAATTGTATACCACGTGAATTAATGTATCTCGTTGGATATGTAAACGAATTCGATGTAAATACTATAGATGTAAACTTCTTTCAACAAATATTAAATAATTGATAGTAACTTCACTTCACAGTTCACGGTAAACAATGCATGATGGATATTTTGTCACGAAGTAGCAAAATCCACCAATCAGTGCTTTACTCATAGTAACTGTGGAGTTATCGGCGATTACCCGTGAAGTTACGTTATAATGATCCGGTTCAGATAATTAAACTTTTAATGTTGCAAATTACTTCACGGCCAAAGTATAATTATCATATGCGGTCTCGAAAAAAGTAGTAAAAATTGCTACTATGAAGCCTTGACAAGTATCTTTCTTCCTAATAAACCCACTAGACAATTTGATTGGCACTTCTTGGATCTTGGGTTAATCTACCGGTTTCGTAGGGATGGAGTTTTTACTCGTTACCTTCCAATATGTCCATCGGCCTCAGAAAGCCCTTTTAAAGATATATAAATCATTTGACCTACCAAAAGAAATAAAATATCAACTCGGTATTGGAAAACTGTCCGGTCCTCAATTTGAGGAAGCCCTATTCAATAGGCTTGTGTCCAGATCTAACACGACAATACTCCTCCAGGCAACGGATCTTAATAATAGAAAAACAAGCCCCGTTTGAAGATTATGCAATAATAAAGCAACCCAACTTATCCCATGGATCTGGTTGTGATAAAGTATAGGTCGTGGTTCTGATGGATATCTCCGATTTGACTTTATGCTAGGAACCATATTTATACAAGTATCAATTAGTAGCTTCACCAAACATAACAGCGTATCATCAAAAAATATCGATAAATCCTTTGAACCAATGCTTCTACAAGCTGATATCACTGCAAATGATATTAGTGGAAGAAACCAAATTGAAATATACTTGGACGAGATATATGGACCCACCCATTCTGCTAGAATAGATCCTTCAAGCCGTAAGTTTAATGTTTCCAAAAATGGCAAACACAAACCTGGATTTCGAATCGTCTATATTCGAGGTTCACCCGGCACTGCCACTCGACAAAAGTTAAACAATTCCATGGCATAGCTCATGTTACTTTTGTTGAAAACTTTTTCAAAATGTATTATAATATCTTTATTATTACATATGCAGTTCAAAATTTGAACATGATGAATGATGTATTTAGTTTATTAATTGCGCACGAATATTAATAGATGTCACTTAGGTTTAATTTTTTAACATGTGAATGCCTGTATGCGTATGGAGCGGGATGTTATTAAATCTTTTTCGATATCTATTAAGCGATATAAACATGAATGAATTTGTCAAGTAAGATATCAGGAAAATTCTTGCCGATTTTCTTTTTATCATGCGCAGTAAATAAATAAATTGTGACACGCACTTGACTAAACATTCGGATTCAAGTTTAAGAAGAGTGGTACCATGGATGTCATTTAATACTGCACTAATGTGAATATGTAATTTGCATCTCGGGATAAAAACGTATATATTCACAAAAAATTGAAGTGTGATATTCTTTAACAATCTAATGGGGATAAGTAAAAGAAATGAAGCTATTAAAGGCTTAATAGCATAGATGGGTGAAATTTTATTTTTTTCTACACTCATATTTTCGTTTTCTTTTTACACGTTAAACTTATTGTTTCTTTATCTATTGCTCACATAAAAACGTATCTTTTTTCAACATTAACCAAATAACACCAATATGACGTGAGAATAATTTTGCATTTTTTACTACAATAGTACATTTGTAAAAAATTTTTTCATACGTATCTACCACATGGTACTTTGAAAATTATGTTATATTTTGTTGATTATACAATAACTCCCAATATAATACAAAGTTATTTAATAAAATACAATTTTTTTTTTTTAAAAAAAAAAATAAGAAAAGAAAAGATTCAATAATTTAAATCTAATTACAAAATTGCCAATTTAGTTTTAGGAGAAATTTGTTCCCGCAATGATCCCAAGTTTGTCGGTCATTTTACGTAATTTGGATTTCTTTCTTTGAGATTCTGGTTCAGTTGATGTACTTGGCTCTTCACTTGATGTAATCATTTGCTCAGGTTCTTCCATAATTTGTTCAATAATATCATCAGCTCCATGTCCTGATAAAGAGCCAGGCAATTCCGCACCGGTACCATTTCCAGCATCTTCTATGGCCGCGTTCATTCTTACATCTGCAGCTTGTTGAAGTTGTCTATCATGTTCAATTGATGGACTATCAGTTGGTTCCGATTGTGAAACTTTTTGTTGATTCTTATTCATTCCCAATAATCGTCTAATAAATCCTCCATAAGTTTCCACATCATCTTGTTTTGTTCTTTTAACCGGAAGCCATAACCATGGTAAAACTCCTACTAATGATGGAGTTACATAGTTCCTCATCCCTGTATTAAGTACACCATTATATAGTGTCATCGGAGGTTGAATATAATCTGTATATAAATCTGGTTCTGCACGATATAAATCATCTTCTAATACGTCTCTTTGAGAATGTACTAGTTTGTTGTTATTCTCATTAAGATTTGATGAGGTGTTAGCCGAACTTCCTACCGGAGCGTCAACTACCACTACTTTTTTGCCGGAACCTTGTGAACTTGGTCTAGACCTAACATCAAATCTAACTTTAGACAATTTTTTTTGATCTTCACGTATACTTTCCAATGGTATAAATCTCGAACTTCTATCATATGCTCCATTCACATAATAAGAGTAAGCACCCGTAATAACTAAAAGGGGCATGATGATTACGGCTAAATGAAATGATTTTCTCAATGACATATATCCAATCATTAATAGTTGAAAAATATATACGCCAATCATAATTCTTCGGAAGATCTTTGGCCATGAAAGTCCAGAAGATTCATAAGGGTGGAAATATACTGAAAATAAATAAATATGAATTAACTTGATACTATAAACTAAATAAATTAATTCATTAACTTAATGTACGATTAAAACAAAATTAACGAACCATATAACAATAAATATTTAAAACAAATATAGCCAAAGAAAAAGTAAATTGTGCCAAAAAAAAGGATAATTGGTGCAAGAGATGAATATACAAGAACAAGAATAAAAACAAGCACAATAGGTGCTAATTCTTGTCCATAATCCATGAGTGGTGGAGTGCTGCCTTCGGCAAAATCTCTGGGCGTATTTGCAAAAATGACACGTAATATGTAAGCCATAGCAATCTCTTTAATCATGACTAAACGAGTTGGGAAAAACGCAATTCCTTGAAAAATAACATAATTGATAAAGATTGGGGATACCTATATAATAAGAGATTTGTTAATTTTTTTTTTTTTTAAAAAAAAAAGGTTGTAAAGATGTTTTGAAAAAAAAAAAAAATGATGTGAATTTACTCGAGATAAGCTTTTCGCCAAAATAAGTGGTACCCCAGGTATATCGTTAATAATGTCTTCAAGTGCATTAAATATAGTACCAGCAATGGTAAAAACAAGGAGAACATTAAACAATAAGAAAAAGAAATATCTAAATGAGATCGTAACAGTAAAAATAATTAATATGATCTTTAACGACAAACAATAGTTTAAAAAATCTTAAACATACTTTGAGAATGTTGAATATTCAATCATGCTGCGGGAATGAAATCCTTGAAGTCTAGAGAGAACTAAGAAGAATATAAATTAGATGTTACAAGTCCTATTATTTCAATAATTGACATATGGAGTTAATAAAACTTACACTGCATAATCATTGGAAGTAACGCGTTAAATGAGATAACAGCAAGAGTAGGTAAAGTAACCTGAATGAAACTTTTCAAGAAGTCATTTTTCTCTGCCAAATCCGCTAACCACGGAAAGACTTTTTTCAGTGAGCTTAAACTCAACAATGAAGCAAAGAACGAAATAGGTCCAGACCAGAAAAATACAAGCAAGACAATCACGAAATTGACGATAACGTCACGAACTAGCATCTCCCGTTTGCGAATATTCAAATTATACCAAAATCTATTATTTAAAAAGGGAATAATTTATATACTGTCAAAGAATAAAAATAATAAAAATCAATTGATTTTCAACTAACACATCACGAGGTTCAGGAGCAAGTTCGGTATTACATTGGAAGGGTTCTGGACGTATTAGTATTTGCGCAGCTAGTTGCTATATGAAAAATGAAAAAGAATATGTAAATTTAGGAATCCCGAGCTACTTGATATAACAAACGGAATTTTATTTACCGCACTAGTAAAATCCTTGAAAGTCACGAAGCCAGTTGAGGTCGAAACATAGGAGCCAAGTCTACCTCGTTTCAATAGTTGGTCACAATGAATAAAAGATTTGGTATAATAATCGATTTTGTCAACTTTTTCCCCAAATATTCCAAGAAATCCCGTCCTTATTGTAGGCCTTTTTGCATTAACTTTCGCAAGAACTTCTGCGGTCTTACTATTTGCAGTGGAAGGATCCTCATCTAGAGCTTTTTCAAATGCTTGGACTGCTAGATCAGGATGATAATTTGGATCCATACAAGGATTTCCCAAATATTCTACGTAGGCCTCTTCCAACTTTCTTAATTGTGTTGCTCGTTGTTCAATCACGTGCCTAAGTTTTCGAACGTGTCGATATACTATAGCACTTTCGACTGGACCTAAATTTAAATTGCTGTAAAATTCTTTTAATGCACGATCTGTTTGCAAACTCCTTGGAAGAACTGTAACCATTACAGTCCTTGCAGAAACAGTATCCTTCCAGTGAAGATAATATCGGTGACGTACTGCTGAGAATTCTCTATAATTATAAAATGTGAAATAATATGTTGCGAGAGAAAACGCCCAAGTAAAGACCACATATGACACCAGAATTCCTTGTGATTCAACTGGACCATGATCATCTTCGGGGATATGAGGATCAGTTGGATTACCGTCAAATAGGTTGTTATCATCATCATTTCCAAAAAATGGGAAGTAATTGTAAATCTTCATTGGAGATAGTATAATTAACGCGAAAATTCCACAGAATGCAAAGAGTTTATAAGACATTTTAAAGAATGCCAAAAGCTAATCGAGATGTTAAGTAAAATAAATAAAAAAAAATCAGTTAGAAATTATCGATTTGATATTGAATGAAATGATACGCAAACGTACCACGACCGCATCCAACCCCACAAGGTTTAACACATCTGATTCTGGGATTTTAATCAAAGGCCAAATCCATCCGAAGAAAGTATTTGGCAAAGTCTTTGGCTTGAGTCTTTAATAAAGTCGATTAATGAAATACCAAGAATTTCCCGAATGTCGTAATTCCTTTGATACATACCTGCTCAACCTACTTCGTGGAGCATACATAGCAGACCAACGAGTCCGAAGAAAACAGAAAAGCAAAAACCATATAGTACCAAAAGGCAGCACGAAAGCGAGTTGGAGAACCGTTTTACCTATTTACACAACTTAATGACTTTATCCATATCTAACATAACGTTAAAATCTTTGAAACTTACTCGGGGGATCATCTCTAGTATCGTTTGATTTCAACATTGAGGGCGTATCAAAAATGAGTTGCCCAGAATTGGTCATGTCTAGGTCCGTTGTTGACATTAAACATTCTTCCATTTCCAAATCATAAAGTTTTACCGTTCGGCTGAATTAAAAGAAAATCAAAATAATTTGCATAAAATTAACGAGACACGTTAGAATTCTTGACTTTATTTCGAGAAATGCAATTTATGATAAAACTTTTTATTGTAAATGATTTGCAAGATCATCAAATCGATAATCAAGATCGTTAATGTTCCAAAGATTGGGGTCTATTTGATAGAAAACAAATTTATATTTATAAAATTTTAATTTATTTATTTTATTTCACCACAAATGATAATACATTTGCGAAATAATAAATATGGTCAAAAATATAACGCGACGTTCGTTTAAATATGTCTCGTCAACCTCGTCGCTCTAATTTACAAAGTTATTTATACAATTAATTGCATTTACGGGGCAACATAACAAATTATAAAAAATAAAAAAAAAAGATTTCATACTCAATAGAAATCACTTCGGGAACATCATAACCATGATTCTTATTTACATAATCCGTGATTTCATTGATACGCTAAAGGATAAAGGTCATTAATTATAATCCTTGAGAATTTTGAATTGTCATTTCCCTTACCCCTTCTGAAGCCTTTATCATAAGCAATTTTTCAGCGGATTCTTCAATTTGACCTTCCCACCCTGAATAATGATCAAATAATCATAAATGAGATATGCAAGTTATATCAGATGTAACTTCTAATCGCATTTATACTTGCAATAAGTGGAAGTAACTTTTGGTAAAATGTTGACAAAATTAACGAGCTTCTCTTGTAAAAGACCTTTGAAAGGAAATTAATTCTAGAATTAAAAAATTTTCAATTAAAATCATTCTTATTAAAATCGCGAACCTCGTGATAAATTTAGAGCAACTTCATTGCTGGGACATGCGACATATATAATACGTGCCTCCGTGGCAGGACTTTCCATGACTGATTTTAATGAAGGGACTTCACACGCTAAAGTTATTGAAAAAAGACAAGGTAATAAATGTGTGAGAAGAAGAATAAAAGTGAGTAAACGTAAGATACGAAGTTTTGAAGAACCGAAAGGGATCATTTTCAAAGAAACCAAAATTTTTCGATCTATCATAAATATAGAAATGATACGATACTCAACCAATCAATTTTGAAATTTGTTTTTTGTTCAAATAATATTTATTTATTTTATTTATTACATATTTATTATATTATAAATATTTCAATTTTTTATTTTTATCAAATCGAATAATTTTGTGAATAAAAAAATGACAACTTTCTTCGGTCGTTCCCGTTCTTCAATAAACTCACTTTGTTACCCAATTTCTACACAATGTCGTTTATTTTCACAATCAATTTTAACTTCACGTCGACATTATGATATATTGGAAGTTTCTCCGGAAGCTGATCGTCAACTAATAAAAGCACAGTTTTATAAATTATCAAAACAATATCACCCAGATTTGAACCTAGGCGATGAAACAGCACATTCAAAATTTGTTCGAATAAATGAAGCATATTCAGTTTTAAGTAATGAGCAAAGTCGAAGAGAATACGATCGATCAATACATCGTCAACTTAATAATTCAAATTCTCGATCACGTATGAAACGTTCTAATGTATACTCTGGTTACTCTGGTTATAACAATGCACCTAGACATGGTAGATCAGGTTTTAATTTTCATAATCGACAAAAAGTGAATTTTAATTTTCAAGAACACTTTCAAAGACATTATGGGGAAGAACTAAGACGGCGAGCCAGATCTGAAGCTCATCAAGAAAAAGAAAAACATGTTAGGGAACTGAGTCATAAACAAAGTCATAGGACGATAAGAATAAGTTTATTAATATCTATGGTTATAATCCTTGGAACTGGTGGTCAAATTTTTGTTTAAGAATTTTAAATCAATTTGAAATAATTAAAAGAATAATAATAATAGTAATTGTAATAATAAAATAATAACAGCAAAAAAAAATTTACACACAGTGTATATATATATATATATCAATATAAAATATTCGTGATTCCCTCAAACTTTTCCCATTTTACAAATCGGGAATTTGGTCAAAATCGTAACCTTCATATCCTTTGTAAGCATAATAAGCAATTCTAACATGATAGGCACCTATTCATTTTTAATGAGAATAAAAAAATTAATTCAAGCAAGAAAATTGAATTATTTCTTTACTAACTTACCAGGAATAAATAATAATGCTCCAAGAAAAAGAAAAGGTTTTCCTCTATCAAGCCATTCCTATAATTACTTGATTTATGAATAAAATGTTTTTCATGAACCATCGAATATTCTGATTTTAAAATTTTCCCACCTCAGTATCGATGATGCCAGCAGTAATAAGTGATCCAAATATAATTCCTAAAGAACCCAGAACAAATAATAGTATTGCTAAAATAATTGAATTCCATGGAACTTGATAAAATTCAACAAATATTTATGAGAAAACAAATCATCACATTAATAATACTAAACATATAAGCAATGACACGAACTTGGATGAACTGGCCTCCTAAACTGTGCATCAGAGAAGCCAACGTCTTCTAACTGTATGTATCTTCTTGAATTTTTAAACCCTTTTAACCCTCGCATTTTTGCAATTGTCATAAAGAAATGTTTTGATTTTTTAATAATATGTCCAAGAGTGCATATGGCAGAATCAGCTGTCCTGTTAACCTAACCATACTATTTCAGGGGGATTAAAATTGGTCAAATATGGGGTCATCGAGATCATTTCTAAAATAATCTAGGTCGATAATGATTTTCCCACGATTAGATGAATCATTATTACATAAGCCTTATCAGTTGGATCCTTCGAAATATAAAGCCTTCTTTTCCTACTGTTTTTGGAATTATGAAATATGTCCGATAACGATTTGATAATTTTATTTCAATCAATTGGCTTGTCAGAACAACGAGCCAAAGATACTGCAAAAAATAAGAAATTGGCACCAACTTTACAAACCACGATCGTGGAAGCTGGTGTTAATGAAACCGGTTGTGATAAATCTGTCGGTGCTTTACTTTATACTCTCGCCTCTACTATTACTAAAGATGCAAATTCACATTTGAGTTACATTGCACGCGCGATAATTGACAAAAGGTTAAAATCTGCGGATCAGATTGCTGGTAAGTTACTTCTCGATCTGTTTCCTCACGCACGATATCAAGCTTCGAATATTGAGAATCTAATTTTTTCTCTCAATGGTGAGGGTTTGAATAGCCGCTATAAAGTATGTCGAGAATGCGGGAGAAGAATTAGTTGATACCGAATTTGACAATGCATGTGGAGTTGGTAATTTGAAAACTTTTTTATTCAGATGTTATCCGTGTAATTTCACTTTATTAATTATCTACATTTATTTATCCTTTTCTACTTAGGCATTGTGATCACACCAGAACAGATCACAAGTGCAATATCCACCTTTTTAGAGTCTAAAAAGGATCTGCTCGTAAAAGATCGGTACAAATTGCTTGGATCATTGTTGGCCCAGGCGAGACAGACTCCGGAGTTGAGATGGGTCAATGGTGCTGACGTCAAAGAGGAATTGGAAAAACAGGTTGTCGCATTGATTGGTCCTAAAGATGAGAGAGATATGCCCGTTAAGGGAAAGGCATGTATATGAGAATCAATCAAATCTAAGAATTTTATTTTATTAATTTTTTTTTTTTTTTTTTACATAGAAAAAGAATAAGGATACTAAAAACGATCAGAAAAAGGCGGAAATTAATGCTATGAAAGTTTCAGGTTTTAGTTCAAATAAATCTAATCAGAATAGCATTCCTAATATGTTTTTGGAAGGAGAATTAGCCAAATTACATAAGCCTGGAGGTAACAAACAAATAAAACCCGAATTAATGGAACAGCATTTAAAGGAAACTGGTGGCAAAGTTTTTACGCGATTTCCCCCGGAGCCAAATGGTTTTTTGCACATTGGTCATGCAAAAGCAATCAATGTGAACTTTGGATACGCAAAAGCTCATAATGGATTATGTTATCTCAGGTTCGGGTTACGTCATTAGAAATCAAGCGATTTTATATTTTAATTATATTTATTCATTTGTCTATTAATATATAATTTTCGAAATTCGAATAGATACGATGACACAAACCCAGAAGGTAAGATTTAATTATTCAGTTATAATTTCATCATTTATATATTTGGATTGATGAATTATTTCCTCCTTTTTTTTAAAAAAAAAAAATTAAAAGCCGAAGAAGAACATTATTTTACCTCCATTAAGGAGGCGGTGGAATGGTTGGGATTTTCTCCATGGAAAATCACCTATTCCTCAGATTATTTTGATAAACTTTATGAATTGGCGATTGAATTAATAAAACGTGACAAAGCTTACGCGTGTAGTTGTACACCTGAAGAAATGCATGAAATGCGTGGAGGTGATGATGGTGGTGAACGTAAAGAATGCGCACATCGTAATCGACCGATCGAAGAATCTTTGATTGAATTTAAAAGGATGAAAGAAGGTCGTTATAAGGAAGGTGAAGTTATTATTCGTATGAAGATGGATATGCAAAGTGGAAATCCTCAATTTTGGGATTTAGTCGCATACCGCGTTTTATATACCCCACATCATAGAACCGGTGATAAATGGTGTATTTACCCGACTTATGATTATACGCATTGTCTGTGCGATTCATTTGAAAATATCACACATTCACTTTGTACTCTCGAGTTTCGCATGTCACGTGAATCATATTACTGGCTTTGTGATGCTCTTGAAGTCTACAAACCTGTTCAATTCGAATATAATAGGTTCGTTATGACTGTACTTGATAAATTTTTTTATATGATTTTAAAAAAAAAAATAATAATACTTTAACGATCATTTCTTTTATAAAGGTTAAATATTAATAATACCATAATGTCGAAACGAAAAATCGCCAAACTTGTTAATGAAGGATATGTTAAAGGATGGGATGATCCAAGATTATATACTTTGCCAGCATTGCGTAGGCGTGGAGTTCCTCCTGAGGCAATTAATGGATTCGTTCAAGATCTTGGTGTTACTACATCGAATTCTACGATTCAAGTGACACGTTTTGATAAATATGTTCGTGATTATCTTGATTTTCACGTACCAAGGTTGATGGTAATTGTGGATCCAATCAAAGTAGTCATTGAAAATTTACCGGATGATTATTTAGAAGAATTAACAGTTCCTTTCAAACCAAAAGATCCTTCCATGGACGATGTAAGTGAAGAAGCGCATGATATTACTTTCTAGCTAAATATATGTAATGACTAATTGTTACTATCATTTGTAGCATGTTGTTCCATTTAGTAAGATAGTTTATATTGATAAATCAGATTTTCGTGAACAAGATTCTCCAGATTATTTCCGACTTGCTGTTGGTAAAACGGTAGGGTTACTATATGTAAAGCATTGTATTACGTGTACTGACGTCAAAAAAGATTCGGAAGGAAATATTGAATATTTAATTTGTCGTTATGAAAATGGACCAGATATTAAGAAATCTAAAACGTATATTCAATGGGTATCAGAATCAACAAAACATCAATCACCTATTCGTTTAAATGAGATTAGAATTTATAATAATTTCTTTATGTCAGAAAATCCTTCAGCACATCCGGAAGGTTTCCTAAAAGATATCAATCCCAATAGTTTAGAAATAGCTACAAATTCTTTAATTGAAATTGGATTACATCGGATCATTTCAAAAGTCTTTGAAAAATCAGAGAAAAAAGAGTTTGAAGCAGTTAGATTTCAAGCTATTCGCGTTGGATATTTTTGTATTGATAAAGATTCTTTTATCGATGAAAACAATGAAACAAAGAATAAATTAATTCTTAATAAGATAGTTTCATTAAAAGAGGATCCTAAAAAGAATTAAATTAAATTAAATTAAATATATTCTTTTGATTTAATCAATTTTCTTTTTTTTTTTTTTTGTGTTGTTTTGCTAATAAACAATTACAACTTGAAAACAAAGTGAACAGATGATATTCGGCTCATAAATATAATTGTTAAAAATTTTTAAATTCCACAATTCTCGATACAAATTGTTTTTAAAACCAATCATTTAAAACCAAACTGCAATAAAAAATTTCAATTTTGTTTTTACCATATATTTTTTTTGGGGGTGCTATCCCATCGCATTTCATTATGTGTTTGCGAGTTAATTTACCGGTGATTATTTCTTGAGTTCAAAAAATTTTATACCAATTGATTAATTATTAATGCCAAATATCCTGGGTACTTATTAGACCTTGAACAATACTAAAAATAAAAAAGTTGGCCCAGTTACCTTCGATGATCTACGTGATTATTCTATGCAAACTTGAGACCTAACATTCATTTACGTTTTTTGCATTTCCTAACCAATTATCACAAAGATGTAAATTGATTACCTAAAAAAAAAATATTTTTTTTTTTTTTATAATTTGGTCATTTCTAATATTTGTTGTTCTTAGTACTTTTTTTCTCCATAAACGCACTCTCCTTGGAATCATAGAATAAAATTTGTATTCAAAGAGGGTGTGAGAGTTGACTAGAAGAAATTTGTATTATTAGGAAGCAGTGTTTTGAAATTCAACGTGCACGCGCAAAAATTTTTTAACTTCCGCAACATTTAAAATTACAATTTTATATAATGCCGCACAAAATTTTGATCAACACTTTTAGAAAAAAAAATGTCACTACTTGACGCGAAAAAAAACCGAAATCAGATGATTCTGAATTTACCCCACCCACGTGATTCTGGCCGAACTTGCGTCGCCCGGAAAAAATGGTAGACGGATTTTATTTTTCCGGGTCATTAGGGTATTAGAGTTAGAGTTTGGATTAAGATTAGGATTAGGGTAGAATTAGGATTAGTTAAGGGGGTTAGCAAATTTGTCATATTGCTTCCCATCCAAACCATTTTTTAATTTACTAAGTATTCTGAGGACTTGGAAATTTTTTGTGAAAAAATTGCTAATTGTCACAATTATATATCACCCTAATATGTATATGTGACTTGGCAAATAAAATCCGTCTACCATTTTTAAGGGTTTTTTAAACTTGTGACTTACATAACATCACCTGAAAAAAATGGTTTTTCTTTTGAATTTTAACAATATGATACTATCACAAGTAGAATTTTGAATAGGTCAGTCAGTTTAGGTCAGATCATTTAAGTTACCTGAACTGAGAGAATCAGATCAGGTTAAACAAAAATCTGATTTGATTTAAATTTCATTTGACCTGATCTGATCTGACCTAATCAAATTATTTCAAAAGAACAATTAGCTATCATTCAAGAAGAATGATAACAAATCATTCTAGTTGAATAATAAAAACATCATTCTTAAATAATAAACTATCATTTAATAATGATAATGAATCATTCTAATTAAATGATAAAACATCATTCTTGAACAATAATAAATCATTTTAATTGAATAATAAAACATTGTTCAAGAATAATAATGAATCATTCTAATTGAATAATAAAACCATCATTCTTAAATAAAATAAAACTATCATTCAAGAATGATAAAATCATCATTTTTAAATGGTAAAATTATTATATAAAAATAATAAAACTATTATTTAAAAATAATAATGAA